GCGCAGCCCCGGAGGGCCGCAGCCCGGAGGCAGCCCCTGGGGCGCTGTTTTTTCAGCCAGACTGAGGTGCCGCCTCCGCAGCGCGGCTGGGGATGGTGCCGGCTGGGCTTGAGAGGAGCACCGAGCCGAACGGGCAGATTTTTGAGCTGTGTGGCCTTTGCGAACATTTTGCTTCCTCTTGCGTGCGGATATCCTTGATTCTTGTGATGCCATCTCAGCGGTGACCCCTCCCTTCAGTCGAGTGGCCCTAGCTGAGGGTGGGGAAGGGAAAAAGAAACCTTTGAAGAGAAGTCCTGGGGGAGGAAAACTTTTAGGCTTCATATTTAGCGGAAAATAATAACAAAAATCTCTGTGAATGTATTTTTTTCTCCTTAATTTTATTTATTTTAAAGCAGTATAGCACAGGAAACTGTTGTTGCTTAAACCTGTTACATTGTCAGAGTCAGTAAATGTTACGGCAAGGAGAGCAAGGAGAATGTGTCTTGGTGTAAGCTCACATATCTGTAAAGTGTTAATAGTTCAGACAAGAGTCAGTACGGTTTTACGGCTGCTGGTTCTATGCAAACAGCTGTATTTACTCACGCTGGCCATGTTCCCATAAATCACTTCGTGCATGGCGTCATTATGCTCCAACAAAGATCAAATTTCCAGGCTAAGTTAGTGATGATAGTTCCAACGTTTGACAAATAGACTTGTGTTTTGGCAGGTATTTCTCTTAACTGAAGTGTGAAAAGGCCTCTGCCATGATGCATACACTGTGATTGGCCCCTTTTTTTCTGCCGTATGTTTAAAAGGATATTACTGGTTTGAAGGAGCTGTGATTTGTGCTCCTTCTCTGTGTATTCATAGACAGAAAGTGTTGCGGTAGATTTTTGACATTCTCAGATAAAGCAGACAATGAAAGCAGATTAAAAAAATGAGTCGTATCAACCGAGATTGGCACAGTGATTGGAAAGAAAATTTGGAGGGCTAAAGACCCGGAGCTTCAACAGTATTGTTAACAACTGGGAAGACGACTGCATGTGGCTAAATGACTTCCGTTCCTTGTGTCTGGAAGGACTGGGGTGTTTGAGGTTTTCAGCTTTGGCAGTAGTTCCACGATCCTTCACAGTTCACCTTATTTCTTGTAACCAGATACTGAAGGCATTTCTAATATATTACTTGATCATTATTTTTTTTAATAGCATTGCACGTCAGAGTTGTTTATTTCTTTTTGGATTTGTGCTTGAGACGCTCAAATAGCGTCCCCTTCCCTTGGAAGTCAGTTTGGACTACTGAAAAAAAACCCAAACAAACCGGACAGCATAACGCTACCGAAAGAGGAGCGTAGCTCTGGAACATGTGCTGTTGGCAGGCGTGGAGGGAAAAGGCTGCTTGCAGTTAGGAACCTGCAAGTTGGATTATTGGCCAAATAGATGTGTGGCTGAAGCCGTAATTATCAGAGGTAACACAGTCGACGTCATAGCTGTCAAAGAAATTATAGCTGGATGTTTCTGTTCTGAGTCCCAGATGTTCCCATACAGGTGCAGGTCTGAAACCTCTGTGGGGTGGCACTTAAACTTGCTCTGATCAGCCTGTTGGAATTGTCTGGCCTACTGTGGTAACGTAGCAGGGTTGTAATACACCAGATTCTGGTTTCCCACCACCTGCTAGTAGATTAACCCAGCTCAGACTGCTCTGTGAGGTAAAAGTTATTTTTGAGTTTGGCTTCTTCATTTTGGTTGGATGAAGTAACAGGCTGCTACAATGAAGACCAAATCCTTTATATGTGATGTTAAGCACAAGAACAGTGTGGAGAGTTAAAAACAAAACAAAAAAAAAACCTCTCAGAGCAAACTAAAATGTTACTTCTGAGGTTTGCCAGGGTTGACTGGACTGACGGGGTTGCTGTGACATGGTGTGTGACTTCACCTGAAAGTTCAAAAGAGGGTTTTCAGTTGATTATGCTCACTCCTGGATGTCATTACCAAGGGGTGTAATGGGTATAAATTGAAATCAGGGAGGTTTAGATTAGATGTCAGGAAGAAATTCTTCCCGGAGAGGGTGGTGAGGCACTGGAACAGGTTGCCCAGAGAAGCTGTGGATGCCCCATCCCTAGAAGTGTTCAAGGCCAGGCTGGATGAGGCTTTGAGCAACCTGGTCTAGTGGAAGGTGTCCCTGCCCATGGCAGGGGAGTTGGAACTAGATGGTCTTTAAGGTCCCTTCCCACCCAAACCATTCTATGATTCTATGATTCTTTTTTTTGGGTGCAATAAATCAAAATAATATTGTGCATTTTTTTTCTTAAATAGTCTCGTAAGCTCTGACTTTGCCTTATTAACCAGGTAGAAGCAGAGCCTTCTCCCTATACTTTCTCCTCCCCCAACGGAGTATCGGTACACAGATGTTCTGAAAACTGTGTCTTCTAAGACCTGATCTGTAGACTCATGCTTTCTTACAGTAGGCTTGATTTTGGGTTTATTTGTTTGTGCAAAGAACTAAGTCTATTTATTTTTCTTGTGCCCATTTAAGAAGGTAAGTTTTTTTTCAAAAGAGCACATTGTTTTGCAGATCACTTTTGTAACATTTGCTTCAAAAGCTTTGTTTTGCATGGCAACCCTCTCATACGTGACAGGAAATGACAGGAGAGATGCACTAGTTCAGCAGCAATTATTCAGCATGGTGTAAAGCAGTGCTCAAGAACGATACTTTGAAACGGCAGTTGCCCTAGATAGGTATATTGTAACATCTTCAAGAGATAGAGGCAGAGAAGTTGCCACAGTACGTGATAACATTTTCCAGGATGAAACTTTTCACGATGATGTTTTGTGACACAGTCTCTGGCAGTAAGCTAACGTGCATAGAAATGCTGGGTTTGCTCAGATGTTTTCAATATGCTTTTTCTTGCAGTTCAGTGCAGCAGCCTTACCAGTTCAGACGTTCAGCATTGCAGATCTGACGAGGGTGTAGCTCTCCATATGTATACAGCATAAAATAAATCTATCACAGGACAGCAATCACAGCAAATGTCAATAAACTGTGCTTTTGTTTTACTTGTCAGTTACAAAGGTCCATTGTTAGATGATGGAGCGCTGGCCCAGGCGGTCTCTCGTGGAGCCAGTTCCCCTGAATTCACCAAACTCTGTGCTTGGTTGGTATCTGAGTTACGGCTGTTCTGTAAACTAGAGGAAAACGTGCAGGCAACTAACAGTAAGTAGCCATAACTCTAGCACAAACGTGCACTTAATGTGTGTTCTTGTATGCCATAAAAATTTGGGCTGACAATTGCTAAATCCATTGTACCAGGGAACATTGTCTGCATGCTGTCAGGTTTTGGATATTTCCACCTCAAGCGAACAGCCAGTAGAGGTTGAAATATTAGTCAGGATACAACAGTCTTTCTTCTGAAATTAGATTCTTCTTTTAATTGTTCAACTACAGAGTTTTTTAAAGTTCTTGGGTGGACTTAAGGAAAATTACTGGGTTTTTTGAATTAAATAATGAGAATACTTTTATTTCAATGCTTCTGTTTGTAATTTTAATGTAAGAACTACCTACTGGTCAAGAAAACATTCTCATAACTGCAGTAACCATCCTTTCTTTTTATTCTTGATTACCTGAACTCTGTACTTCCTATGTATTTTTCCCTCTTTATGAAACACACTAAGATAAACAAAAAAGTTTATTGTTTTGATGGAGAAAGCAAACCTTAGTTTTCCAAAAAATGTTATTTTTTGTTAATTAGTCACGACATTCTACAGATTAAATTGTTAAATTGGTATGATAACCTGTACTTCTGAGTAACTAATGTATTAACTTATAATGCCCTTAGGATCTTAACTTGCCATCTACTCAGTGGCCAAAGATTGCTGCCTTTCACCTCAACATCTGTTCTCTTTCTCTCTGTTTTTGACATGCCCAGCCTTTCTTTGAGTTTATTTGGCTCTTTCTCTGTAACAATACAGCATCTCACCTCTTCTACATTCCTACTGTATGTTTTATGTAAAAATACAATCCAGGAGCATTCTAACACTTACTTCAAATTCTCTAAACGTAGTGATAAAATGTTTCTATCTGTAGTACCATCAAGTCCTACCTTCGTTTTGTGTGACTTGAGTTTATAAATAACAGACATTTTGGGTTGAAGTACCTCTTCAAAAGAAGAAAAAACATTACCTCTCATTAACCACTATTTCTTGCATAACTTGGCTGAACAAATTCAGATTAGTTTTGCTGATTTGTGATGCAAGTATCAGTCCAAGCTTTGGTTTGCGTGACTTACTTCATAGCAATATCCTTTAAAAATAATTAAGATCAATTGACAAACATGAGCTTACAGGGAGAAGTAGTAAAAACATGAGAGCTCAGAAGCCATATTATTCATTACTTTATCGGAACTGATACATGTGTGCTGGGAGCAGTTAGTTGATACTTAAGATACCCCTGTAAAATCTGTGATGTTTTTAATGTCACTTTTCATTGTAGGAGTTGCCAGTGGCTGGCTGTTGTGGGAAAAGCTGTCAGTGAAATGTAATGTTGCAATAACGAGGAATATCATGGCTCCCATTAGACTGTGCTGTGTCTTTGAGAAACCCAGGAGATGCATTTGGCTTCCATTAGAAGCAGCGTTTTAATGTTAAATAGCAATTGGAGCAAAGCAGCTTTTTTTTATGTGGGAAAAGCTGTCAGTGAAATGTAATGTTGCAATAACGAGGAATATCATGGCTCCCATTAGACTGTGCTGTGTCTTTGAGAAACCCAAGAGATGCATTTGGCTTCCATTAGAAGCAGCGTTTTAATGTTAAATAGCAAAGCAGCTTTTTTTTTATAAGTAGCTAATTCATTCTAATCATAGCCAGAAGTGTATTTATATTAGCTGTAAACAAATTATTATTCCTTTCCTGCTAAGGTCCAAATGAAGCAGAAGAATTTCAGCTCGAAATGAGCGGGTTGCTGGCTGAAATGAACTGCCCGTACGCATCATTAACATCGGGAGATGTGACAAAACGCCTTCATAATCGAAAGAACTGTCTCTTGCTGCTTAGTAAGTTAAAAGGGTACTTGCAAGCAAATCTGGTTTTGTGCAAGAATCATAATGTATACAACAGTTACAGGGAAATGCAATTCTTAATTTTAGGTAATTTACAGTGTCAGAATATTATGCTTCTGGGCCTCAAATTTACCTGTCACTCTGTAGCCAGCATATGGTGGAGAATATATGGAGTATTAACCTTTTTCACATTCACTAGCAAAAAGCCTGTCCTATTACTTCTCAAAAGGTACTCCAAAGAGGGAATAATTTTAAGACTTCTGCCAGGATTTAGCCACTGAATGTATTTTTGGAAGGGTTATAAAACTGACCACTAATATCAGATGCATCATCATTTTGGAGCCCTCACTGTGATGACTTGGAAGGTGCAAGAAGACTTGCATTTTCCTAGGCTCTGAAAACAGTTGGAATTGTGAAAAAAAAAAAAAGTTTTGTCCCAGCTCCCAGTTTTTTTGATCACCTCCCTTAGTAAATAGCTGCGATGTTACTTTCTGCTGGCTGAAAAGAAGTTAGCAGTAGCAATGGTGATGTTGTCCCTTTACTCTCCCACCCAGTGATCTCAGTAGCTAAATCGGTATTATTCCTGCTTAGGAAATGTTAGAAATAGTACTTGAATTTGGAAAAAGTACGTGATGTTGATTTGCAGTCGTAAATTATTTAAGTGTGAGAAATTGTAATACTAATTTTAATCTGATTCAATGTTAATATTTTAATTTGCTTCCTCAGTTCTTTTAATTTTTCAAACTAGAAATTGAGTTCTGCCCTCAGCTGAGATGCAGGAAATGAATTAGAGTATTTCAGCAGTAGAAGAAAAGGAGTAGTAAAACTTAAATCTGAATTTTTGAAAGTATGTTTAGAAATACTAGATATTTAAAGTATATGGTAGCTAAATAATCTGCCCTTCAGCTCATTCTTTGTAACCCAAGCCATTCAATCAATTTGGCCTGTCTGTGACACAGTCTATCCCAGAGGTGCTCTGTGATGTAAGTTTTGGTAATATAAGGCCATGTTCAGAAGCTGAACTCTGGTATTCCATCTGGTAGGAATACTGTGCTTGCTGTCGAATATGGAATTGGAATAGATGCCAACCTCCTCTTTTTTTGTGTACCACGATAGTTGCATAGCTTGCTTTACCTACCTTGAGTGAACGTACTAGGCATCCCAGTGTACGTGAGGCATAAAACCAGTTTTTTTTCAGGAGAAACAGAATAACTCTCTTATATGGAATGCCAGGCAATTTTACATTTTAATGCAATACAGCCCAGTGTATGTCAGTTGGAAGATGTAGCAGTATTGCTGGGAGAGGAAAGCACAAAATAAATGTCAGTAGTTAGGATCGTCTGGGTGTGCAGCATGACTAGAATACAATATTAAGAACTGGCATCCACAGATGGAAAAAGTACAAGAGTTTCAGGTTGGTTGAGAAAAGCTTTGCAAAAAAGAATCGCTCTCTGGTGAACATTCATGTGTTACAGTGATAGGCTTTAAAATTTCAGTCTTTGTCAGAGAAGGTTGAAAGTACCTTGAATGTCATCTCTAAATTCTTGAAACAAAATTCTGCTAGTTTCTTTTTCAGGAGGTCCTAACGGGGTGTAAACAATTGAAAGTGGAATATGAGAGAAATCTGTATATAGTACCGTTGAAAGAACTTACAAAGAATTCTTCGCTGCTTTACATGTTTTAAGAATTGTATGATTTATAAGGTGTTCTGTGTCTTTAGCAGAAGACATTCTAGAGATCAAGAAGAAATTCTAGAGATCATTAGAATGCTTTGTTCTTAATCTTTTGATCTGTCCCAATTTTATAGGTAGTAAGCTGCTTTTGTATAGCCGTGGGTTTACATCCCTGCTCGCAAGTCTGTCTTTGTCAGTGCGGTATCTATTTTTCAGTCCTTATTTTTAGAAATAATTGTTTATGTTACTGTTACGGTCACCCAGTGTGATTCATGATAAAAGTATTGTTAAACATGTGGGTTTTTTCTTTCAAGGCAAACTTTAAAGTTGTGACGACTGCAAGCGAAGGCTGTGTGCTAAATTTATGTCACTAACAGACACCGAAAGCTAAAATTTTTGGTGTATACCATGTTCAGAAGACGTGATTTTAATTTTTTTGTTTGTTTTGATAAAAAAGTTATAATGTGGTGGTAGGCTCTTGCAGTTCTGGTTTTGAACAGCACTGCAGGTATTCTAGCTTCTGTTTCTCCCTTCTGGAATTGTTACAAACCTGAGTTCTCAATAGTACTTTTGAAAGGGGGTTTATTTTTCCACTCTGCATCTTGCCTGGGGAAGTAGAGATTTGTCCAATATTTCACTTTACTCACTTCTTGCTTTGCTTCCTAGAGCTTTAAGGAATGCTTGCTTGTGTAGTTTAAAGTGCATATCCCAGTCCCTCATCCTGCTTATTTCCATGTTCCTAGTCTCCTGTCTTTGCTGGGCAAAGCCTGAAGGAAAAGAGCCGTGCTCTGTTGAACTCTGTGATTAATACCTGTCGGAATCATAGGGACTTTTTCCAGGCTTTAATTAGTTGTACTAAACCTTTCCCCTGTTGGTTGCGTTTCTAGCGCTGGGCTCAGTGACGATTAGAAATGTGAGCGTTCTGTGGATACCAGAATGATGGGCCTCACTCTTTCTAAAGCAGTCCATTTGCACATTTGTTGATTGTAAGCACTAGAGTTCTCAGTGGTTCTAAAATAATTTAACTCGGCTATATCTGATGCTGAAATCTAATTTTTCTTACCCCAGCATACCTCATCTCAGAACTGGAAGCTGCCAGAATGCTGTGTGTGAATGCCCCTCCTAAAAAAGCACAGGAAGGAGGTGGCAGTGAAGTCTTTCAGGAGCTAAAAGGCATATGTATTGCTTTAGGCATGTCCAAGCCTCCAGCCAACATAACGATGTTCCAGTTCTTCAGTGGAATTGAAAAAAAAGTAAGATCCAAAGGAACAAAACTAGAATATTTATGATGTTACTGTTTTGATGGAAAATAGTTCTGCTACCAGGGAGAGATTTGCCTTCTGTGAAACTCCAGTGTTTGAATTGTGAAGAAGAGTTAATACAGTTTACTGAACATGCCAAGAGTCAGGATTTTGAAGATTAGTTCAAAGGCTTTTTCCACGCCAAGGCACGAGGTCAGGGACTACTGCTGCCATTGCCTTCCGGGGTGAGGTATTTCCTACTCTGCTCTAGGTTTTAATGTCATCACCTGTTGCAGAAGACATGGAAAATGCTGAGATCAGGCCTCAGGGAGAGTGTTAAGGAGAAATGTATTCCAAGAAATACACCTAAGCATTTTTTTTACAGGAATCTCCTGTTTTAAAAGTGTTTAGGATAAAGGGAATTGTAAATTTGACTTCAGTTACACCTTTTCCCTAAGTCTTCATCAGTTCCCGTGGTTCCATTTATTTTTGTTCATATACATGTATGTGTTCCTCAGGTGGTTGTGGGTTTTTTTAAAGATATTTACTTTTGTCTGAGTAATTTTTATAAAGCAGAGAAATGAAGTGGAATGGACTGTCCAGTGCACAGACAGTTGGGGGACAGAAAGTTTTTGTTACATTCAATTACTTGCAGGATAGGGGAGAGCAGAACAGATACGGTTACAAAGCTCCCCAAAATACTTTCAGACAAGTTTTTTGACTAACCTTTTAGTTGCATTGTACCTAAATAGGTCCAAGCAACTGAGAATAATTGCTTCATTTCTTTGCAAAGAATTGGTTTTGACTGACCTGTTTAAGAAGAGGAGGATGGTTTTCCAACAGAAGTCCAAGGTGTAGAATGGAAGCAGTTAGTTTTCTGGTTTTGGCATTGCCACAGTCATTAGATAGTTAAGATACATTAAAAAAATCTGTGCTTCCATTTGTTGTAAAAGGTAGAAAATATAACAATGAACAATGCTAGCAAGCTTTGAAAGAGGCTCTATAAAAATACAGAAGTAGATCAAAATCTTTTTAATCTGGGAATTCTGTTATGTTTTACTAATTGACTTTTCTTTTTACATGGTCTTGCAAGGTTAAATGAATGGTATCCCAATGATTTATATCCATAGGTGGTTATACAAGGGGGCGGGGGGGGAATCCCTGAACAGTCCTTATAGCTTAATAAAATACATCAGGAATTTCTAACCTATGGAGTTTTTTTTAGAAATCATAACAGTCTGAACACTTCAGATGTTGGTAGTAGTTGAGAAGGAGAAAGTAAAGGTGGCTAATAACTGAAAAAAACTTTTTTCACTTTGTAAATGAAAATACCTCGCACATGTGAGCAAAATTTGAAAACTTAAATACCAGAACGAAAATTTTACTGGACTGTAAGATGATAGCTATAACAAGAGATCACCCTAAAGTTGTCTTGTTTTGAAAATAGAGTCTTAGAGTGGCATTATTCTGATCTAGCATATGAAAATCAAACTACCTTTTTCTTTGCACACACGTAGTACAGTTGGGAGTAGGATCTTTGTATAATTGACTCTATTAATGATCCTCCATGTTTAAAACAAACAAAAAACCCTGCTGATACTTGAATGAACTGCTACCTTTGCTGTTCTGAAAGCACTTGGGTTTAAAGTCGTAAAGTTGGGCTCAACACCTTTGGAAAACCAGGTCACTCCCTGTATTAAGTCAACTGCTGGAATGATTGCTGGAGCCAAGGAAGTTGAAAAGTGTGGTTTGCGGCAGTAGGAAAGGGAAGTTTCATAACTGCAGCCTGCTTTGATCCAAGTTTTTGTCGCTGCTACTCCCATTTCTTCCCCCTGATGTCCTCGGAAATTTTGCGATGGGAAAGATAGCCTAAGTTGTGCCCAAACTTTTAAACTGCAAGTTAGATTTTCATATTGAAGATTTTCTCCTTCTGATTGTAAAAAGGGGTCCTTCTTTCGATTGTCTCACATCTCACATACTCTTAATACAACCTTTTTGATGCAAGTGTGGGTTTTTTTCTGAATTAAGGAGAGCTCTTGTGCAGAATAATCCCTCCCTTTTCAAGGGGACCTGTACCTCATGGAATCTCTCAATTTTAACTACTCTATAGTCCCATAGTTTTTAAATAATTATAGCCAAGGCTACCAAAAATACAAATATGGTTGCTTTCCAAAAGAAGTGTGCTTCGGTCTCTGTCCCAGAGAAAAATACTTGATACTGGAGGTTGCTCTGTCATGCCTGTGACTGTCCAAGAGTCCTCTCTTGAAATTTGAAAAGCTCTTTTTTTTTTTCTTTTATTTAGCCAATGCTTATATTTTTATCTGTCTCCTAACAGCTGAAGGAAACCCTAGCAAAGGTTCCACCTAATCATGTTGGCAAACCTTTATTGAAGAAACAACTGGGACCAGCTCACTGGGTAAGTAGTTGCAGGTATTACAGCCCATTTCCCATTTTCAGGTGTATAAAGTATTGATCTTGATTCCGTGTGTAATGTTGCAAAATTATTTTTCTCATCTCTTTCTGAAGATGAGAAAACTGTTTCTTGCAGTATTTTACATATATGTTGGTACAATAAGTGTTCAGTAACTGATAAGATTTTAGGCTCATGAATTTGTATGTCCAGGTGCAGGCAAAAGATTTCCAAAATAAAGAGGATTTACAGTGGTGGCCCTGACATGCGTGCTTGTGTGGTAGCTTATGCCTTCCTGTCCTGCCGCCTCACCGAGATGGTGTCACAGCCCCTCTTGTGGCTTCTTTCCAGCTAACCTGTGGGTCTTCTCATAATTTCCTCCTATCTTTCTGTCCTGTTGGAGTAGTCTGCTTCCTTCATAGTCTCTTTTCCAAGAAGCAGTGAGTGTGCAGGTGGAAGCTGGGAGAGGCTGTACACCCACATGGCAGACCCACAATCTCACCTGCTGTTCTAGGGTGGTGCCTGGGTTAGATATTGCTGCTGCACCAGCACAAAGCTACAGCTGTGAGTCTCTTGTGTCTCTTGCTTAAGGTTGAAGGTCATCTGCTCCCAACAGTCTGCTTCCTCCAGGGCTTGCACTGTGGAGGCTGAAACACCTTCTTTCAGCCAGTCTTCAGTCAATACATAACCTATTCCTTAATGGTGCATAGCCCAACTGTTGCTCTAACTAGACCACTGTCTGCTACTGGGTGTGTTTCTAGTGGTGGCTTTTCCCTGTAGGGCACTTTGTTGTCATATGCAGATTGTGCTTTAATCAAGATCATCTTACAGTACTTACTTCTAGTCCTCTCTTTGCTCTACCTTTGTCTTTAAGCTTACTGCTTTTTAAAAAGGCAAGGACACCCTGGTCCCTAGGACTTAGGGGTGTCCATGCATCACCTTCAGCTTGTTGCGTGTAGTGTTTTCTCACTTCTGCTTCTCTCCCTGGGTGGGTGTTGAGAAATGCCTCTCAGCAGGGCATGTTATGATGGTAGAAAGCTGAATGTGAGGATAACGGAGCTTTGGAGCCTTCAGGAAAATAGTGTTGGCAAGGTAGATAATTGCAGGCTTAAGCCCTGCTTGCTATCCCTGTGTCTTACTCTCTTCCATCCACATTGTTTATTATCTTAACTAGAAACATTTTGCATATAATCTATAGGTTATTTCTGCATATCTTTGTTTCAGGAAAAAATTGAAGCAATGAATCAAGCCATAGTCAACGAATACGAAGTCCGAAGAAAACTGTTAGTCAAGCGTTTGGATGTTACTGTGCAGTCCTTTGGCTGGTCAGACAGAGCTAAGGTACGACCAACTTGCCCTGAAGTCCTGGTTGATGGTAATGCTCTAAAATAAGTATCTCTGGAGAACTGCTTAATTGTGTAATTGTTCACGAGTGAGAAACAACCACAGGAGTTGTCTGGTTTTGGCTTGAGTTTATGGAGAAGTTCATGATAATGTAGGATGACTAAAAATATTTTACTTAAAACTGATTTGTCAGAGTTTAAAACAGTATGTAAATTGAGAAGATAGACTGTAACTACAAACCAAAGCCAAAATATGCAGTTAAATAGGCCACTAGAAAAAGGTAGTAAGAGATTACTGATCCAACAATTTACCTTCAGAGTATGGTGATGTCAATCATTAAGTGCTACGTCGGTGTGATGGTAGAGAAGCGCATCTTACTGCTGACCATCCCTTAGCTTTGTGCTGTCCACAGCGATCAGATTTCCTTAACTCAAAGTGCCTCTGCAAGTGCAGCTCCACAGATGCACGTGAGAAGCTGGTAGGGCACTAACCAGTTCTTACCGGGTAGGCAGGGTGGTGTTTTATGTGCTGCTTTCGTCTTTGAGCCGTGCAAGTGGCTGCGACATGATGTCTCTTCTCTCTGAGTATGTGATATATATTCTGCTCTTAAAAATAATTACATGGTTTCCCTATTTCCTAGTGAAAAAGGAACGACAAGATTTAAAAAAACCAGTGCATATCATTTATTTTCTAGGACTAAACCAGATCTGCTGACATGCTGTTAATTATGCTGCTGGCAGCGTTTGAGACAGAGTTATTAGTGCTGAACTGTGACACGTGAATCATCAAGTGTTTTTTCTTAATAAACGATTTAATCAAAAAACAACTGTCTTTTAATAATGAACTATGACCTTTCCCCTTTACTCTTTCATCACCTGAGTAGGAATTCTACTGGTGTTCTATCTCTTAAACTTGTGTTCTTCAGGTTGTTTAGTAGAAGATTGAAGAACTATCTGATTGAATGTTTTAATAGTGAATGAAAATGAGCAAAACTATGGATTGGGTTAAAACCCAGGCAATTCTAATTGTGTTAGAGCTTTGGCATCCAAATCCATGTATCTTTGGGGGTTTTTTTCTAGGAGAATTCTCAGATGTTTTTGACCTTGACTGGCTACGTGGAATCCTTTCACAAAACCCACAAATTGTATATATGAATTTACATCTATTGAAATGCAAATTTAAATCTTTTAGGACCATGGCGATACAAAATTGGAGAGTGTGGCTATAGTATTGCGTGTCTGGAGTACGGTTTGTTTTGACAGTAACTATTAGCAATGTTTTAATAAATGACGGTAAGGAGTTCTTTAAATTTTAAAATTAAAAGAATCAGAATACGGTAGTACAACTAAATAGTTATTTCTCCAGATAGTAGAAACACCAGTAAAAACTTCATAGCCTATAATTAAGGGGTTTTTAAAATGAAAATTTTCAAGTTTCACGTAGAAGAAGAATACTATAGCACCAAAATACTGTGCTCGGAGCTCAGTCAGACTTGCCAGGGAAAAGCTTACTGCTGCTCTGGTGAACACTGTTGCTGCTCTTGTCTTTAGGCAGCGCCAGGTAAATGACGTGTGCGTTTTCCTTCGTTTTGAATAAACCCTGTTGAGTTTGCAATTTGAAAGCAGAAGCTTTTGGTTCTAAAAACTTATCACTGAGTCACTTGGAAGTACATGCTCTCAATTCTTCCCAGTTCCGGTTTTCTGCCTTTAGATGGAAAATAGGATTTTAGTATTTTAAAATTTGCCCCTAAGCTCTTGCCCTCTCCAGAGATGTGTTGGAGAACCTTGTTTGCCTGTCCCACGGTGGTCATCTGGGCTCCAGACAAAAAGCAGCCCTTTTGCCTGTGTACGGATTGCAATCTGGTTTATCCCACCTGCATCACCGCGTTACGCCCCGCTGATAACTGAAGGCAGATGTAACTCATGGCTGGTTGTGTCTGTCGGTTGGAGCGCTGCTTTCACACTTTTGAGGTGTTCAGAAAAGCCAGTGTGGTTAATGTCGACAGGCAGCTGGGGAAGAGAGATGGCGTGCAGGGCAAAGTTGATGTGTAAGGATCCCGTTTCTAGCTTGGGCGCCACTAGAGAAAGGACTGAATTAGAATGAGCACTTGAGAGCTTTTGTTCTGCCAGTACCGCGGGGCGGCCTGCCTCTGTGAAGAAGCCGGCTGGAATGAAGAGTGTGAAGGAGTTAGCACAGCCCTCTTCTGCTGACGCTGTGTTGGAGCCAGGGTGATGCCAGCCTAACTGGAACGGGTGTGGGTCGGGGTGCAGGCGCAAGAGGCGGTCTGGAGGCTGGACACAGATGTGTTTCACCTCCGGTATCTTTTAGCTATCATCAGTAATCCGTGTAACCGTATGACACACTTCTGTGTTTGCCTGAAAGTAAAACGTTCTGCGTGTATATATAATTAATCTTAACACCGTCAGAAGCTCAGTATCTTGTCAGTTCAGTCACAATAGTGTTTCCTATATTACTTAAGAAATTAATTTGACAAATGCCAGCTTTGTTGCAGTGATTCTTAGTTACAAAGTGGTTCTCACCGTTTCTATTTTAATTTTTGTTCAATTCGCAGTAGTTTTTTGTTCTTTGGTGTTGCTTTGATTCTTTTGATGAGGTGTCCCATTGCTTTCTTACTACTTTAGCTGACTGGGATTTGTTTTTCTTCTCTCCAACAGAGTCAAACAGAAAAACTGGCTAAGGTTTACCAGCCAAAACGTGCCCTCTTATCTACTAAGTGCACTATTTCCGTTGCAAATCTATTAGCAGCTCGGCAGGATCTGTCAAAGATCGTGAGAACAAGCAGTGGATCCATCCGAGAGAAGACTGCCTGTGCCATTAATAAGGTACCTTTGGCGACAGATGACTTGTTCTGTGTCACGACAGGGAAGATGATTGGTTTAGGCCACTTAAAGATCAGTGTCACAAATACTAGGGGGAAAAAGCTGTTTTAATATGAACTTGGGAAAAGTGCAACTTAACAGAATTCGATGGCAAGGTCCACTCCACTACTAATTCGATGTGGAAAAGCATACAAAAGTGAAATCAAACTAGCAGTGGATTACAATGGTATATATGCAAATTGAAAATGACTTACAGAGTCAGAGAAATCATGTCAGAATTGGGTTGCTGCAATATGGATTAGGAAGAGAGGCAACAAAATTTCCTCCATTGGGTCACGAGGTTCAGAGTGGAACCTCTTACTTTCTAAACCTCCCAAAGAGGAGTCTGGGTGTGACTGAATCCACTCCTAGTCCCAGACCTGCTCAACGGTGTATGCCTAAGGAATTAGGGAAAGGGTTTGCAGTGTGTTGGGTTTTGTGCTTCGTGCAAAACTTTGGGACAGCAGCAATTTGGAATATCAGCAGTTCAGAATTCCTTAACGCTATTCGGATATATCACACAGATTATATAATTCCCAGCCAAACTTAGCTATCAGCACAGTAACTTAATCAAAGACTTAACAAAGGTATCGACATGAAGTTGCATGCGTATGGCACACAGACAGATACAGACACAGATGTGTGTGTATATGTATCTATGCATATATATATGTGTGTGTGTGTGTATATATACACAGAAGTACCTGTTAAAATTCCCCCTTGAGTTTAGTGAAAATATTCATGTCAGATACCGCTGCATCTCTCAACGGGCGAAGGGTTGAGCCTCAAGAAGGTTTTCAGCCCAAGTTGCGTTGGCAGTTCTCTGATTTCAGAGACTTGAGAGTTTGTGAACTCCAAGCGGTGCCCCACTCAGAGGGAGATGTTGGGCACAGCTCACTGAAGTCCAGGAGAACTCGAAGGGTCTTTCTTGGACCCTGGAAGCTGGGGGAGACTTTGTACAAGGGCCTGTAGTGACAGGACAAGGGGTAACGGGTTTAAATTGAAAGTGGCGAGGTTTAGATTGGATATCAGGAAGAAGTTCTTACCGGAGAGGGTGGTGAGGCACTGGAAGAGGTTGCCCAGAGAAGCTGTGGATGCCCCAGCCCTGGAAGTGTTCAAGGCCAGGCTGGATGAGGCTTTGAGCACCGTGGTCTAGTGGAAGGTGTCCCTGCCCATGGCAGGGGGGGTGGAACTAGATGGGCTTTAAGGTCCCTTCCAACCCAAACCCGTCTGTGATGCTGTGATTCTTGGAACCACTGTTTATAGGGTCACAAGATAATTGACTACAGGCATCAGTAGCTTTCCACTTTGGCCACAACTTGGATTGGTGACTTAGAATGTCAGTAATTGGTGGTACCAAATTGCCCAAGTCTCTGGGTTGTCCAGGAATGATTAGTTATTCCATTCTTGCTTCTTCTATGGCCAGGTGGTTGAATTCCTGGTACACACCCTGGTCAGGCAACTGAGCTCTTGGCACGATGGTTGATATGGTCAGGGAAGGCTTAACCACCGAACTTGCTGCACAATGGCTAAGGCTGTATGTGACTCCTTAGGCTGTAGAGTGGCCTAGAAACCGAGGGTGAGTGGGAAATGCACCACCACATTCTGTTATGAATATTTAAGTAAATTGAATGTAGTAATAAATCCTACTTCTTTTAGGATTGTAAGTGGCATTTGGAAATAAAGAGTAAGAAACTTGGTGTACTCCATGCATCAGTGCATTATGGGAACTGCAATTCTGCCTGTTTAGGTTCAGAGTGCCCCTTCTTAGGGGCAGTAAAAAATTGCTGAAATACCGTGTTGCTTTCAGTGGGAGTAGGCCTGCCCTGTGTGACCAGAATTACTGATCTCATTACGCTGCTGCTGCCTAGCTCTGTCACTGCGTCTACCCTAACACCTACACGGTGACTGTATTTTGCTCTGTGTAAATACAGGGTATTAACGTCACAAAGCAAGGATGTCACAGATTCCCCCGTGTACACGGAGATGTGTGTAGTTTCATTTGCGCGGAGTCAAGTGTGCGGTTTCAGTAAGGACATAGTAGGGATGTGATTTAGACTAAGCAACTTACCTTGTTTCCAAAGTTACGATTTTACAGGAGTGATAGGCTCACAAAAGCACGTGCCGAACTTTTGAAGCTCAGTAGCTATGTACAGTTGGAACTTTAAAATTAGTGGGTGTCCACGCATGCTTTTCTCCTGGGTACCAACTGTATTTCGTGTAAAGTCCCAATTAATTAGAATAGAGCGGTGGTGTGCTCATTTGACCACACCCCCCTCCACCCCTAAATGATTTTTGCACCTTTTTAATGTAGATGGAGCATGGAATATAAGAAACTAAGTGGGAAGACAGGTGTGACGATCATCAGACCATATGTATGTTTGACTAGGAAGGCAACACTGCCCTGCTGCTGCTACGTATTCGGTTACCTTATCCCCATTATCCATATTAAATGTTTTCCAGGGCATGTTACATGCAGTAACAAAGCAGCCTGTTTCCATTCAGGTTTTTCTGTTACGTGGTGTGAAAAGTTGAAGCGGTGTGAATGTCCTGTCCTGTTTTAAGTCTTGCTAAATTCCTAATGTCACAGCATCCCTAGATGGCTGAAGACTCCGGAGCCAAGCAAGGCTCTGATCAGTGCTGTCTGACACCTCTTCGTTGGTGTGTACGTTTTTGCGTGCCCTTACTGAAAAATACAAGCCGTCGTGCTTCGTTTGCCGAGCCAATGGCTTCTACAGCAGTTCAGAGCACTGGGCAGGAGAGGGGCTGTGTTGCACTGCGCCTGTTTACCAATGCACACTCAAGCGGTTTAGTGAAAGACTATTGATGCTGCCTCTGCTGCTGTGCCTGCTGTTGGAACAAAAATCCCAGGTCTCCTGGCTTCTCTTGGTAGAAGTGCTTGGAGCACTAGAGTAATCCCTGATTAATTGGAGACAGTGGTCTGTCGCATCCAAACAGACCAGAGTTTGCCGTGATGAAATCCCCTGGGTGTCAGAACCCTCGAGCGGCTGCCGTTTGTGGTGCGTGTTGGTGGATGTGACTCTTCTGCGAGGTGTTACAGCTCCCACGGCCATTCTCCCGTTCCCTTTGCAGGTGCTAATGGGCAGAGTGCCCGACAGAGGAGGAAGGCCCAACGAAATCGAACCGCCGCCTCCTGAGATGCCGCCGTGGCAGAAGAGACCGGAGGGGGGTCCGCAACAAGGCGGCGGCAGGGGAGGAAGAGGTGGCTACGAATCTTCGTACGGAGGGCGAGGAGGTTATGACCACGGGGGTCACGACCGAGGAGGAAGGGGAGGCTACGACTCGTCGTACGGCGGGCGAGGAGGTCATGACCAAGGCAGCCACGATCGAGGGGGCCGAGGAGGACGTGGTGGTTATGATCATGGCAGCAGAGGAGGCGGAAGAGGAAACAAGCTTCAAGGAGGTTGGACAGACGGTGGAGGTGGTGGCTACCAGGATGGCAGCTACAGGGAGAACAACTACAGAGATGCAGGTTTTCAAACGGGTGGCTACCACGGCGGTGGCGGCGGCTACCAAGGGCGGCTACGAGTCGTCTTCATAGTCGGGAAGTGGCTACCAAGGGGGGGGTGGCGGCGGCTACCAGCAAGATAACAGATACCAAGATGGTGGGTCCCACAGTGACCGAGGGGGTGGGCGCGGAGGAGGGAGAGGTGGCCGTGGCGGTCGTGGTGGCCGTGGAGGCCAAGGAGGAGGCTGGGGGGGCAGAGGTGGACAGAACTTTAATCAAGGGGGGCAGTTTGAGCAGCACTTCCAGCATGGAGGTTACCAGTATAATCAGTCTGGCTTTGGACAAGGAAGACACTTCACGAGCTGAGGCTGCTAAAACCTTTTGCTTCAGCAGAGCTCACGTAATAGAAACCTGGTTTCGGAGGCCTGGCTTAATCACGTGCAGGTTCGTACGCGGCAGGTAGAATCTCTCTGGGTGGGATGTTTTGCGTTGAGGAAAGTACAGCTTTCTGTAGACCTCCCCCCATCACTCCGACCTGTCTGAGTGAAACGCAGCATCACTCCCCGCTGCACCCTACACACGAACTAATGCTTTGTCCGTGCTGGACTAGTTCCTTCTGTTCAAAACCCTCTCGTTCTGAAACTGCCTGCTGCGTTCGCCTTCTGCTTCAATTTAGAGAAACATCAAAAACCTGTCTGGTCAAACCTGTCTCTTGCAATACGCAGCAGAACTTCTGCATTTGTTTTTCCCCCTAATCATTGTTCAGTTACATATTCTAAAACCAGCTCTGAGGCTTTTTGGCTTGCTGGCCTCTGGGTTTAGTCACAGAGATGCTACACGTGCGCAGACGCACGGCGAACGCGCTCTGACAGACGGGATTCTTCTCTATTAGATGAGCTCTACTGTGGATGCCATGTCTGGTAGCCTTATCTCCCGCTAAAACGAGTTCTCCCACCTGCTCAACTGAAGACTGACCGCCGCCAAAATCTGCAGAGATCATTTAAAACTAAGCTAAATTGTGAACCGGTAGTGTGCGTAGGCCTGTAGTTAGGTGTAGCAATTCCAACTGACCTGCATCCATCCAAAACAAGTTGCTCCTCCTCCAAACCTAACTCTTACTTGAAATCAATTAGAAGAAATGACAAACTGAAATTTAGTTTATTTGCAAGTTAATACCACTGGCTCAGCAAACCTAGGGCAATTTGTTTTGGGGGTTGTCTTTTTAAAGAAATGCACTACGGCCTGGGAAGATTAGTTCCTGCCTGGAGGAAGCCCTTTTATTATTGCTGCAGAAAACAAAGCCTGGCTGAGTTTGATGTTCTGATGTTTGGTTTGTTTTTTTCTTTACTGAAAGCCACATAATGCTTCTTGCTGGGTTTTTTGTGTACATAAACGTTGTCAAGCTGTGAAAGAAAATGGCTGAAGGTGTGCTGTTGTACAAAAGGTGAGCAATAAAAGTATCTGTATGTTCCCTTTGCTTTAGTTTCTTTTCCTTCTTGTCGTAGAAAGCAGTTGCTACAGGAGCTGGAAATTTGGGGGGATTTCTGTCTGCTTCATCTGTCCTATGTTTTAATCTGGTTTTCGATATTCCACTCATCCCGGCTGTACTGGGCATTTTGCGCCCTGAGAAGCTGTCAGAAAAGGAGTGGGCGGGAGGAATGGATCTCCAGTCGGAGGAATAGCTCTTCGATGGCTCTGAGTTCTGCTCTGTTCCCCTGTCTGAACTGGCGTAGCAGCACAGTGTCTCTCTGGGGTGTTGCTGGCTGGAATTAGTTACTCTTGGGCCATGTGAGCACCCGTCCCCCAGGATGTGCTCCTGCATGTCACGTGCACATGGTACGCTGCTTCTGGGAAACTCCCCGTGCTCTCCAGCCCACGGAAAACGTAGGTTCCTGCTACCGGGCCTGGATCGCTGTAGCAATGGGTGTGCTGATGGCAACAGGCTCTGGCTACGTGAGGTGCCCCTGGGCTGCATCCAGGTTGAGGCAGGCAGGAGAAGTTCCTTGGATTACAGAAATAATCAGTGTAATGCTGGTGCTGCTGTAGGTCAAGCTAATCCTGTAAATAAGCTGATTGACATTGTGTAGAAACTGATTTTTTCCCCTGGGTTTCATTCCCGTGATCAACCTGAAGAATCTCCTGTTTAATTTATTGCGGCCACTGGGTGCTGCTAGTGACTCGCGGGGTGGAAGCCAGCGTCTCGAGGAAAGCACTGGAGACCTAAGGTCTCTTCTGTATTTTCATGTTTCAAACCAACGTAACAAGCCTGACGAGGGAGAAGTTTTCCATATTAAATCCAGGTCTCTGAGGGTCACTAACACAGATCTATCTCGGCGTAACGCGGTTCAAGTGATGAACGTCTGGAAACTCAC